TTTAATTCATGAATTTAAGCGTCTTGGTAGCTAGGTCTCCTCATTTTACGACCGTGACTCGATAACTGTAACCGTAAGTTCTATTTTAATAGGTTCTTCTCTTTCTCTTCTCACTCGCGTAAATCTCTTCAACCTCTTGAATTTCTTCTTAATTGCAATCTTCATAAATTTAAATGTAACATCAATCGGCGCCCTCTGTCTGTATTCTGATCTTTTCCTTGGTCTGTAACGTTTTGTCAGCTTACTTCACACTCATCAATACCTTGCACCTTAGTGGCTTTAACTCCTTCCTCGGGGTGAAATTGCTTAAAAAAAAGAAGAAAGGAACACCGCTGTCCTATACTCTACAATCGAGTCTACAGGATAAACTATATTTGATGTATCTTGGTCAATGTTTATTACTTCGAAGGAAAAGGGGAAACAAGGTGTTAAGTTTATTAGTTTACTCCTTTAACACTTCAAATTCCTTGAATCTACAAAATATTCTGCCTGTTTTTATAAAAACACAAAAATCGGAAAAATTTTATAATTCTTATAGACGTCAACTAGGGCAATTTTCTACACACACACACACACACACACACACACACAACATGAATCTTGCCCTCATTGACCCGTCAAGCACTCATTGTCCTTTTCCTGTAATTATTGACGATGACGTCATCGATAAGTCATCGATAAGTCATCGTCCGTCTACGGGAATAGCTATTGATCACCGTGAAGGCGATCACCAGCCCCCGAAGAATAATGAATAGGATACAGTCTGCTGCCAACCAGTACCTTGGATCAATACTGCATCTATTTTAGGGTAGGTTTTGACAACGCCGGCGACAAATATTGATTAAACGCTATTCCTTTCCCACAAAAACACGCCCTTTTCATCATGGTGCATTAATAAGTTAGGGAGGGTGAAAGTTTTTAATGACCAAGCAGGCACTTAGGCCGTATTGCAATATTGACAATGGCTAAATGAAATTTATTATAATTATTTAACACACATAAACTATATTATATATATATATATATATATATATATATATATATATACTGCTGTAAGTATTATGAGTTCGATCCCCATGGATGAATTCATGTTTTGAATCTATCTATCTATCTATCTATCTATCTATCTATCTATCTATCTATCTATCTCAGGCCGTTTATATCTATCTATCTATCTATCTATCTATCTATCTATCTATCTATCTCAGTCCGTTTATATCTATCATATCTATCTATATGTCTGATCATATCTATCTATATGTCTGATCATATCTATCTATCTATCTATCTATCTCTCTCTCTCTCTATCTATATATATATATATATATATATATATATATATATATATATATGACTGATCATATGTATATATCCATCCTGTTTATATCTATCTAACTATGTATCTATCTATCTGTCTATCTATGCCTGATCTTATCTATCTCTCCATCTTTCTGTCTGTCTGTCTGTCTGTCTGTCTGTCTCTCTCTATATATATATATATATATCAGGGTGTATCAAAATACTTTTACAATCTTTCGGGGCGGTTTTCACATTACCAAAATAAGGACAAAAGTCTATATAAATGTATGCCCGTAAATCCTTCGTATTTAAATTAATAAGTTTACGGTACATGGTGCTGAGTTGCCATGTAGACTAGGTTACATTTTTCATTCGTGTAAATTTTTGGCTAGTCTGTCTTCAACGTTTAACTTGTGTAGTAGTGAGTTAACTGAGAAGTGTTCCGTTTAACAATGGCATGATAATCAGATCGTTATCAGACAGATATACATTTTGCAAACAGCCGCAAATGGTAAGGGACTTAAGGTTTTCTTTAAACTTAACTCAAAAATGAACAATTCGCAGACATATGTTTATATGAACTTGTTTCGGTGTGAGGAACTCAGCCCTAAATATTGTAAAAATATTTTTGATACACACACACATACACACACTAATAATTTATTTTAGGGAAGCAACATTTCTTTTAAACATCTTTCATTAAATATGGCAAAGAAGATTTAATTAATTTCTATGAAGTTTTTTCCCAGCATGCTTAAGTATTTCCGTTTTGTAGGAGCAAGGTAGTACAGAAATTGTCCATAACTTTTATCGTCACGCGGTTTCGGTCATTTCTTTAGCAAATTTTAACGGGGCTTTTGCTTTTGGTATTGTTAATTTTTCCTCTTTTTTAGAATGTTTAACTTGTATTTTATTTTTGTGTTGCTTTGAATTGGAGCGTTTATTTCAGCCACCCTCACTTCGCGAAGTCTCAGAATAAAAGTTCCTTTTTGGAAGAACCGAATACATGGAACTGGTTTAAAGTATGTCACAAGGTCTTCAAACAAACAACCTTCTGCAAGGTACATATATAATAATAATAATAATAATAATAATAATAATAATAATAATAATAAATAATTGTTATTATAATATAATTGTTGTTATAATAAGTATTGTTAGTATAAACACATTTCTATTTCACTGAAAGCAGACGATAAGTATCCGAGAACATTATCGTCTACTTAATCTTCTCTCCGTCTTTCTTTTTCTTTTTCTTTCTCTTGCTGAAACCGAAGCGACTCTGATAAGTATTTTCCGTCTATAGTTACGATCAAAACGGAATTGTCCATTATTTATGGAGTACTGCTCAGAGCGTAACGTACATGCTAAGGAATGCAAGAAGCGACGGAAATGTGATTTAATAAATAACATTATATTTTAATTAATACCTTTTATAATTTTCATGGGTATTGCTAATAATAATCGTCGACATCGTCGGCATCCGTCCGCCTTGAGCCTGGGCGGGATATATGGAGAACTGGGGTTGCCCAGACGTCTACTTCCTCTTCTCGGCCTTGCTAGCAGAGTCCAAAGAAGAGGATAAACCAATACAGTTTGGTACCAGTGCGGCTGCAGGAATTTCCGGAAGGTAGCACAAAGTGCCGTCCATCCGCCTTAGGGGACCCACTCCGGGTTTGAATTCAGAGTTGTCCTTCTCCTAGACCAGTTGCCATCCAAGGCTATAGAACCCAGTCTGTCCTACAATTTACCCATATCTGGAGGGAGAAGAAGAGGATTAATAATAATAATAATAATATGTACTTTCTTACTGAAATGGTAGTCCCTGTAGATTTTAATATATCTTTGAAGATTTTCAAAACTCTTTCAAAATACAAGGATCTTGTCGTGGAAATCTCGAAAATGTATCACATGAGGACATCAGTAATTCCAGTTGTAGTTGGAGCACTCGGATTGATTGAAAAAAGGTTCCGATAAGATCCCTGGTAGCCCATGTCTGAAAGAAATATATAAAAACATGTACTTACAAGTACAGCTCATACATTAGGAGGAGTTTATCTATGTATTATTGACATAGCAGTACCATCTGAAAGAAACACCTCCATAAACAATTATCGAGAATTTGTCCAAATACAAGAACCTGGAGATTGAGATTAACAGAATGAAAACTGAGACTGTACCAATAGTAGTCGGAACACTGGGACTTGTGAGAAAAGGAATGGACAATTTTACTAACAGTGTCCTAGGTAACATCAACATACAAGTTGCCCAGAAGATCACCCTACTAGGAACATCCCATATACTAAGGAAAGTGTTATCACTTAAATGACAATTCTCCTATAAGGCCTAAGGACTATAGTTTATAATAATAATAATAATAATATGTTGATATGGCAGTCCCTGCTGACTGCAATGTATTTTTGAAGATATTCAAAAAGTTGTCAAAATACAAGGACCTTGAAATAGAAATCTCGAAAATGTGGCATATGGAAACATCAACAATCCCTGTTGTAGTTGGAGCCCTAGGACTGGTTGGAAAAGATTGCAGTAGACTAATTGAAGGGATTCCTGGAAGTCCATGCCTCAAGGAGATACAAAAAAATTGTTCTGACAAGTACAGCCCACACTTTACGAAGGGCTTTATCTATGAAATTTTTTTTTTTTTTTTGTCAGTGGAAAGTGTCATGATGCCATTTCTAACCTTAGGTCCCTGGGCGGGACCCGGAAAGAAATGTGTAAATGCCAGAAATCAAAGGAAATAAAAATAAAAATAATAATGAGAAGAAGAAGAAGAAGAAGAAGAAGAAGAAGAAGAAAAAGAAGAAGAAGAAGAAACAGAAAAAGCAGAAGATATAAATAAAAATTTGCGTTGTCATGACGAAAATTATTTTTCAATATACATCTTAAGTACTTGTATATTGATATTATTAATTGTTTATTTTCAAGAGAAACAAACACAGACAAAAGACAAATAGAACAAACGTGACTGTTTATTTTTTTTATCTTTACTTTTTAATGTTTAAGGAAAAAAAAATTAACCGTAGGTTTCGGTCTTTTCAAAATGTGCGCAATCTACATAAATTAAAGTTAGTGCTGTCGACAATACGAACTTAAAGATTTTAACATCGACTAGTGTATCCTTTAATTCGTTTACGTGCTGATGTCCTTTTTAACAGAGTGTGAATAAATCTTTTCTTTTTTCTTTTTGTCTCCATCGAAGCGACTGACAAACAACTGGAACATCTAACAAAAGAAAGCTTTTAAAAGACTTGGGTCAGACAATTCGTCAGCGAAGCGAATTTCTTTATTTAAGAATTGGTTGTGTCTGCTATTCTAATTTGAACAAAGTAATTATTGATGTTCAGTTAAGTTTTGCTTAGCACAAAACGAAGTAAGGAATAGAATGTTGCAGGAAGATTATGTTGCGTCGATCTGTTTTATTATGGCAAACTTGCCTGACTTGAAATTCAAAATCTTAGAGTTTCATTCATTTTATTCAGTTGACGGGATTTTGCGCCGCCTCTGTGGTCATCACTCCCCACTATCTCGCAATGGTGGTTCATGGTGACATTCAAGGCAAAATATTGCAATGTCTGACCAGTTCCTTTTACATCGGGGAGGTTGAGGTTACCCCGTTCCTATTCTCAGATGTGGATTTGCATTTGAAGTTCCCTTCTTCTAGCTTAGGCCTAAAAAATTAGGTTGTTTGACTTCTTACGTCTGAGAAGAAAATGAAGAAAAAGAATAAAGGAGGCAATGAAAAAGAAAAAGGAAAATATTAGAAGAAAATAAACAAGAAGAAAAAGAAGAAAAATACGAAGAAGAAAATAATAATAATAATAATAATAATAATAATAAAAAGAAGAAGAAGAAGAAGAAGAAGGAGAAGAATGAAGGAGAAAAAGGAAAATAAAAGAAGAAAATAAAGAAGAAAAGGAATAAGAAGGAGAAAAAGAAGAAGAAAAAAGAAAAATAGATAAAAAAAAAAAGAAGGAAAAGACTGAAGAAGAAAAATGAAGAAGAAATAAAGAAGAAGAAAAAATGAAGAAGGAGAAAAATAAGAAGAAAAATAATAATAATAAGAAGAAGAAAATGGAGAAGAAGAACGAAATAGTAAAAGAAAAATAGAAGAAGAAAGTAAAGAAGAAGGAAAACAATAAGAAGAAAAACAATAAGAAGAAAAAAGAAAAGTAAGAATGAAGAAGAAAAAGAAATAGAAGAAGAAAATAAAGAAAAATAAGAAGAAAAAGAAGGAGGAGAAGAAGAGGAGAAGAGGATGATGAAGAAGAAGAAAGAAGAAAACGAAACAGAAGAAGAAGAAAAATACAGAAAGAAAGGAATAATAATAATAATAATAATAATAATATTAATAATAATAATAATAATAATATTAATGATAATAATAATAATAATGATAATAATAATAACAAGAATGAAGAAGAAAAAAGAAAAAGTAGAATGAATAAGAAAAAGTAAAAGAAAATTAGGTGAAGGATAAAAAGAAGAAGAATGAATAAGAAGAAGAAGAAAGAGAAAGAAGAATAAGAACAAGAAAAAAGAAGAAAATAAATATAATAATCATAATAATGATATTAATAATATGATGCCATTTCTAACCTTAGGTCCCTGGGCAGGACCCGGAAAGAAATGTGTAAACGCCAGAAATCAAAGAAAATAATAATAATAATAATAATAATAATAAGAAGAAGAAGAAGAAGAAGAAGAAGAATTTATTCAGTTATTATATTTTGGGCCGCCAGTGTGGTCATCACTCCTCACAATCTCACAATTGTTGTTCATGATGACATACAAGGCAGAATATTGCAATGGCTTACCAGTTGCTTTTTCACCGGGGAGTTTGAGGTTATCCCCGTCCCTCACCTCAGAAGTGAAAGAGGCAATACCTAAAAGGCAGCAGGTGTTTTCCTTCTCCTAGACTGGTTGCCTACAAAAGCTATACTATAAGGCCTGCTATTTATATCCAAAGCTGGGAGGAAAAGATGAATTCAAACCTTTTCCCAGAGGTAAACCACGTAATGAACTCGACTAGGAATTCAAACTCGGGTCACCAATTTTTCAATCTGAGCCGTTATCCATTCCTCTACTCTACCTCAAATGACTATAATAGTTGTACAAATATATATATATAACCCATTCATACCAATTTCTTTCAGAATTTAACTTAAAACAAAAATATTATCAGGAAAAAAAAGTTGTCTTGAGCCGTCCTGGGTATGGCGATAAACTAGATCCGCGTCCTGGGTAAGACTATAAACTACGTCCAACAGAAAGGCTAATTTACTGGAAATATTACCTGTTTCCTGGGATCAAAGTGTAGTATCTGTTTTCCTCATTTCTAACGGTAACAACAATATAAGCATTTTCCTTATAAGGAAATATTCAGCTTTCATTAACCAAGCAACCAATGCTAGTCGAATTAGGCTTTTCTTCACTTTCTGACCATTGGACTGAGATCAAAGTGTAGTATCTGTTTTCCTCATTTATAACGGTAACAGCAATATCAGCATTTTCCTTATAAGGAAATATTCAGCTTTCATTAACCGAGCAGCCAATCACTTACGTTTTTTTTCACTCTTTGGTCCTTGGAATGGGATCAAAGTGTAATATCTGTTCTCCTCATTTCTAATCGGTATGCTAATATAAGCCGTTTCCTTATAAGGAAACATTAGCTATTCATAGCCAGTGCTACCCAAGTTAAGCTTCACTTCACTCTCTGGACGTCGGACTGGGATTAAAGTATAGTATCTGTTCATCTCGACTCACATGTCAATTTTAATATTAGCCGTTTCGTTATAAGGAAACATTACGCATTCATTGTCCTAGTAGCCAGTGCTACTCGAGTTATGCTTTATTTCACTCTCTGGATATCAGAGTGGGATCAGAGTGTAGTATCTGTTCTTCTCGTCTCTAGAGGTGATATTAGCCGTTTCCTTACAAGGAAACATTCAGTATTTATTGACCGAGTAGCCAACTACTCGAGTTACGGTTTTCTTAAATTCCTTGGCCATCACGCTGGAATCAAAGTATAGTATTTGTGTTCCTCATTTCTGATGGTAATATTAAGCCGTTTTCCCTACAATGATTAATCTTGTCTTCCTTGACCGAGCAGCCAGTGCTACTTGAGTTACGCTTTTTTTCACTACCTGTATATCAAGCTTGGATCAAGATGTAGTATCTGTTCCCATCTTCTTTAATGATAATATTCGTAATGTTAATGATAATAAGGAAACATTGAGCATTATTGACCGTGCAACCAGCGCTTCTTAGAGTTACCCTTTACTTCACTTAACCATCGACCTGGGATCAAAGTGTCGTACAAGTTGTTTGCATCTAATGGTAAATGAAGTATTAACTGTTTCGTTGTGATGAAACATTTGGCATTCCTTGACAGAGCAGCCGGTACTACTTTCAGTTGAAATTTTTAAAATCATTTAAACCTTTGAGCCCTGACCACCGCTTTACCGGTGGTAGAGAAAAATGACGTAATGTGCAGCCACCGGTTGAACCTTGGTAAAGAAAAGTGACCTAATGCCCAGCCACAGGTTGAATGATGGATAAACACTGACGTCGTGTTTTGCTATTGGTTGTTTTATTTTGAATAGCCAATCAGAACAGCCGTAATATTCTTATGTCATCGATTGTCATACGAATATGTCCGCGTCCTTTCATTGTATTTTGTGCAAGTGTTTTGGATAAAAAAAAAAAAGAAAAAAAAGTTCTCCCCATGAAGCATTCGGAGTCTCAACTTGGACCGTCAGAGAAGCAAACAGGGAGTTATAATTTTGTAACTATTTTTATATCTACCGTGAAACATTACATACCAATTATTTGCGAATTTTGACTCAGGAGCTCAGGCAGAAGGGTTCAAATTGTCTAGGAACGCACGGCTCAAAGGGCTAATAAAAAAAAAATTAAGGAAAATAAATTTTTTAAAAGACAGTTCCTTTTATAGATCTTTCACATTACTGATGGTTTCCTTCCTAACCTTTTGTTTGAAGTCGTGTGGAACTTGATGTCTCGATTATTTCATTTTTTCTCTTCGAACTACATGTAATATCCATTTTAGTTAAGGCTGTTGTTGCTTCTTTTATTTGGTAAATTTCTTTGTGATTATGTAGCGCCAATCCATGTTTTTCGAAGAAGGATTGTTCTTACTAAGACATAAGTTGGGATTCATTAATTTCAAACAGTTTTTAACCATTGGTCTGAGAAATCGTTTGTATACAGTTGACAATTTACCGTAATTCCACATACGCCTTCATCCATAATACACATCCATAAAATTCTGCTGAACGTGTGGAGAAATGCTTCTACTCACGCATAATATGACCCCCTTGTTTCGTAATCAAATCCTATATATCGTGCTTCTCCAATTCCATTATAGCCAGAGTTTCCTACCCTTATTAAAAAATGGTTTTAATCATAGAATAATATTATTCTAATTTAGTTTTTTTATAAAACTTATTTTACATTTCTAAGTATTGTTAGGTACATTGTATTTGACATCCTTATAGGGTCATAATCGCCGAATGTTAGTGTCAAATTGTCGTATGTTTGCGGTGAGTAGTCATTTCGCAACTGAAATCGACCTATGAAATGGTATTTTTTATTTGATTATTTATTTATAGCTGTGCATAATACGCATCCTGATTTTGCTAATTTCTTTTAGAAAAATGCGTATTATACATGGGGAATTGCGGTAGATATTTCTGAATGATTTTAGATCCATGTTTGACATCCTCATGAAAATCTCGATCTGACGAAATTATTTTAGAACAAGACTCGCGTTCTTAGATTTTTTTTTTCGTTTGGTAACAACTTGCGGTGTTGGGAGAAACTAATTCTTTTGTAGTTTGTTCAATTTCCTTGTCTCCTATGATAAATTTGCTGTCTAAAATTAATTTTCCTAACAAGCTAAACAAAGATTTACAGGACAGAACAAAAATATTGGACGCATAAAAGTTGTTCTTTTTTCCCAAGAAAAAACATAACTCTGGTGTGGCTGCAAACTTCAGAATTGGGGAGAACACCTTTGTGCAAATTAAAAGAAGCAAAATGAAAAATTCCGTTATTATTTCCTTTTTTTCGTATTTTTCTAATGAAACCAGTGCACATGTTAGTATTTCGTATGTACATTCTACGAAGTCGTTTCTTGCAGATTGACCACAGATTTAAATCAGGAGAGTTTCCGGGCCAATCTATAGTACTTGGATATGCTCACTAGTAAAGGTTGCCAGAGTGTTCGTGCAGCGTTACAGCTTTCGTACGCTTCCTTGGAGTAACGTCCATCGCAGACAATGACTGTAGGACAACTAATCGACAGTCGAGACAATAGTGTCTGGGCGTGATGAAAATCTGCTGCAATCACGGATGGCGCAAAATTTTCAAGGCGAAATAAATTTCATCATAAAGCCCGAAAATAGATTCATATTACTGCACACCACTGCAAATGTCCTTATCTGAGTGAAAAAATAGAAATCGATTACCCCCTGTCACCCCAGTGGGTCTAAAACTGATCTATGTTGAAAGAAAGGAAACTAAAGCTGTTGTTTCAATTAATTTGCACAATGGTGTATTTATATATAAATCTGTTTATCTCTCTCTCTTTATCTATCTATCTATCTATCTATCTATCTATCTATCTATCTATCTATCTATCTATCTATCTATATATATATAGAGAGATAGATAGATAGATAGATGCATAGATAGATAGATAACTAAGATTGTCTCTGTTTTAATTTTTTATGTGAGGTGTTATTATCATTTACTTTATTTACAAGCGTATTTTGTCCTCAAGTTTGTTGTTATTATCGCAACGTTTCGGCCGTTGTGATCTCCGGCCTTCATCAGGTGTATGTCGATCCGAGTAACCTACAGGAAATTCCGAACTGAAGCCTTTATTTAATCTACTGGGGTAGACTGTTCTCCTTCCCATAGCTAGGGATATCTCGTCTAGTTCTTAATTTGAGGGAGGAATGGTCGTTTTCATCAATTTGGGCAGGAGTGTAATTACTGAGGCAATAATAAGTAGTAATAAGAATTTTTTTGTGTGTCTAGGTGCAAAATTTATTGGGTAATTAAACAAAAAGGTCTAAAACGAAAATTTTTGGATGCACATCAATAAAATGATTTCAAAATAATGACCTTTATTTGCTATGACGACAATCAGACGATAAGAATTATTTGAAATAATTTCCTCCAGTTCTGACTTTATTGAACTGTTGACAAATTACCTTAAGTAATTAGATTTCTTCTGATGATCTCTAATTTAAAAAAAAATGGCGCTTTTTTTTTTTTTTTTTCATCTATATCTAAGCTATAAGTAAAATATATTTCTGAAAACTGAAATTTTCATTGAAATATTTTGGAAATGTTACAAATTTTGATCTAAAATCAAGACAAACCTAGAAAAAAAAAGAAGGGATTATCAGAGGTCAGGAATTTAAGCATTGCTGATAGAGTAGGGCTATTATATGTATGTATAATGTAAATTAATTGCTAATTTGATTTATTTATTTTATGACTTATCAACCTTTTGATAATTAATCGTCAAAAAATATTTTTATTTTTTTTATTTTGAGTATAATCATTTATTGATACAAGCCCTCCTAATTAACCCATAGCTGGAGGGAGAAGACATGGAATCATTCCTTTGCCAAGAGGATTTGTAAGTAAATCTAACGACGATCTCGGATTTGAAACTCGGACCTGTTATCCCTGACACCACCCGCACACCCAAACTTACAGCACTTTGCTTTCTTATGTGGTCACCCATCCAAATATTGATCAGACTCGATGTTGCTAAATATTTTACAATTAAAATTGAAATGTAAATCGGGAAGAAAGGGACTGTGAGTGGCCAGGACATCAAGCGGACGTTACTGACTGAATAGAAAGATAGAATGGGTTAAATAAATAGCCTTGATTTGTAAGGGACTTAGTGACTGAAGTTTGCATCTTTCTGTAGAATGGCATTTCTGTTGCTTCCAGCCTCTTCTCCATTTGTGAAGAGATTGGACAGTATTCAATACACAAAGTCAAAAAGGTGTAGACAAATTTGTTCTTACATTACACATCCTAAACTTAGAGGAATTCATTTTTTATTGACATTTTCTCTAAAACTTCATCGTTGCTCACATGTTCGGTCCACGGTATCCTCAGCATCCTTCTGTAGAACACAATTTCTATTGCTTCACGTCTCTTCTTCATCTTTGAGACGATCGTCCAGCACTCATTACAATGACATATATCACGTAGCAATTTAGTTTTCTTTTCTTTGTTTCTAGCGAAATTTTCCTATTTCTTATTACTCTGCTTAGCTTTTAGAATGTTTCATTAGATATCCTAAAACGCCTTTCGATTTAAATGTCGTTCTTTCTGTCCTCTGTTAAACCACTTCCCAGATATTTAAATCTCCGCACTTGTTTGATATGTCCTGTGAGTATCAGATTTTCTAAGCCCTCTTTCCTAACTATGTGCTCTAGATATTTCAACTGTTTCTTCCTGGTGTTAATAAGTTTCCTTTTTGATTCCATATTCACTAAAACTTCGATGTTGTTCACATGTTCGGTCCACGGTATCCTCAGCATCCTTCTGTAGAACCACATTTCTGTTGCTTCAAGTCTCTTCTCCATCTGCGAAGACATTGTACAGTATTCACTGCATAAAGTCAAAAAGGTTTACACAAATTTGTTCTTAAATTACACATTGTAACCTTATAGAAATTCATTTTTATTGACATTTTATCTAAAACTTCATCGTTACCCACGTGTTCGGTCTACGGTATCCTTAGCATCCTTCTGTAGAACATTTCTATTGCTTCACGTCTCTTCTTCATTTTTGAGGCGATCGTCCATTACTCATTACCAAACAGGAAGGACAGATATCACGTAGCAATTTAGTTTTCTTTTCTTTGTTTCTAGCGAAATTTTCCTATTTCTTATTACTCTGCTTAGCTTTTAGAATGTTTATATTCAGTCAGTTATGTACTATACGTGATACACACATGCGATCATGTATCTTTAGATGCATTACAGATTTTTCCCCCGCATGAGGTTGCCATTTCTTTCTACAGTAGACCAGTTGCCATCCAAGACAATAGAACCCCGTCTGTCCAGCTATTTCGTCTTTGGATTTAAATGTCCGCTGTTAAACCACTTTCCAGATATTTAAATCTCCGCACTTGTTAAATATGTCCTGTGAGTATCAGATTTTCTAAGCCCTCTTTCCTCATTATATTCTCCAGAAATTTCAACTGTCTCTTCTTGGTGTTAAGTATTAGTTTCCTTTTCGATTCCATATTATCTAAAACTTCGACGTTTTCACATATTCGGTCCACGGTATCCTCAGCATCTTTCTGTAGAACGACATTTCTGTTGCCTAAAATCTCTTACTAAAACAGTCTTCTATGCGCCGTGACTCATCAGGATGTAATCGATCATGACTCTCCTCAACTTCCCGTCTCTTGTAGCTCATAATAAACATTGTCTTTCTGTTCTGCCATCTATTTGCTCAAGCTCATTATGTTATGCGTTGTTTTCCTCTGTCTCGTGAGTATCAGATTTTCCAAGCCGTCCTTCCTCATTCCTCCCAGAAAATCAACTGTCGCTTTCTGATGTTAAGTATAAGTTTCCTTTTTGTTTCCATATTCTCCAAAGCTTCGTCATTACTCACATATACGGTCCACGGTATCCTCAGCATCCTTCTGTAGAACATTTTTATTGCTTCAAGTCTCTTCTTCATCTTTGAGACGCTCGTTAAGAATTTTTTTCCATAGAGGAAGGACAGATATCACGTAACAGTTCAGGACTCTTTTCTTTGTTTCTAGAGAAAAATTCTGATTTTTTATCACTCTTTTTTTTTTTTTTCGTTTTCTTTCGGAGAAATTTAAAAAAAAAAGTTCATTTAATGATAAGAATGGAAGGAAAGATGCCAAGTGAAAATAAATCGTTTGGCTTTTTGAAGCAGAATAAAAATAAACATTTTCTTTGTTCGTGTTACAGTCTTTTGTCAATAAATTATTCATTTCTTTGTGTCATTGGACGCAAAGGGAGAGCTGACATTTTGAAAACAATAAGAATATTCAGTGAAAATACCGACACAAAAACACACAGAGAGAGAGAGAGAGAGAGAGAGAGAGAGAGAGAGTGTGTGTGTGTGTGTGTGTGTGTGTGTGTGTGTGTGTGTGTGTGTGTGTGTGTGTGTGTGACAGTTTGGGCGGGAGAAAGAAAGAAAAAAGAGAAAAAAGTTTTATAAACGAAGCCAGGATAGGGCAATCAGCAGTGGATGAGAAGAAGCACACACAGTAACAGATAGAGTCAAATGCAGCGCTTAAAATACAGTAAGACGTTTCTTCTTCAATGTGCCATGTCCCTTCAGGACGTTGGCGATCATGACTCTTCACAACTTCCTCTCCTTTTCAGCTCTTAATAAATTTTGTTTTTTTGCGTTCTCTATCTGTTGTGGATTGCGAGACAAAATTCAGTCTCCAATGAATGACAAACGCAAGAATGAAATATAACAAATAAATGTATTTACACAATAATACAATGGGTAATACTGTTAGCAAATCCAGGAACGCGATAAGTAATATATATATATATATATATATATATATATATATATATATATATATATATATATATATATATATATATATATATATATATATATATATATATATATAGACTCGAAGTAGGATTTCTTTAGAGTCTACGTGCTTGTAACTGTGACTTCTACAAGTGGTTACCTCACACTATTACTCTACCTCCAACTCAATCAAAATCTCTGCTCTCTCTCTCTCTCTATCTATATATATATATATTCTGACTGACTCTGGGTATTTAACGGGAGCAGTTCAAGTAACACTCTGGTCGAGTCCACTTATATGAAAAAGAGGAGGACACCATAACACACTCCTAAACCTACACAAGGCCCAGGAGCCACTCAATGTGCAGAGTATTCTGAAAAAGTTGATGGTTATGAAGTTATGGCAGCTCGGAAAACTCACTCTGATCATTCTGGTAAGAAAAGAAATCCTGAATTTGTTGGTGAGAGCCTAGGACACTACTTGAAGGCCGACATCAAATGCCTTGAGGAGGTAGTGCTGAACTGGGTCAAGAGGGAGGTGCTGGAAGATACCATATCTGGTAAAAGGTCTCTACACCATGCCACACAAGCAGGAGAACAACCCAGTCATGGCTGTCAGACAATTTCTGCGATCACATCATCCACTTACATCTGGCCACCGAACTCCCCAGATTGCAACCCCCTTGATTATTATGTGTGAGGCGCAATTGAGTGAGAGATAAACAAAACTTTTAACACCAAAGATGAACTGAAGGTAAGGATTATGGCAACATTCACCAAAGTTAACAAGGAGAAGGTCCAAAAGAGTTACAGGTGATTCCGAAGTCGTTTGGTGACCGTCGCTGAAGCCAATGACGATTTTATTGAACAAATTTACTCTTTGATATTTCAAGATATTTTTGCGTAATTTTGGTAAATATACCTGTTAAAATGAGATGTCAGTTTTATTATCATTTTTTTCGTAATTTAGATGACAATTTATCCATTACAGCCTTTAAATAGATAAATTTTTAACATATAACGTGTGTTAGCACGTGCGATACCCTGTCTTCATCAGCCGCCGACCAGGGGTGATATCACGGTTACGGT